TCAGATGCCTTTGTTGGCTAAGGTCTATCTCTAAGGAGGCCCTACTGAGTAGTATCTTCTCCATAGTTTCCTCCCACAACCCAGTGGGTGTGGACTGTCTCTGATCCTCCTGTGGCAGGGCCTGTCTCTAGAGCCTTGTAATTAGTGGAATTTGTCCCCAGTGTCCCCTTGGTGGGTGGGACCTAGCCTCAGATCCAACTGTTAGGTGAGGTCTGTCACTAAGGTCTGGTTTTTTTTTTTTTAATTGTTATTTGGGTGAAAGTTTACAGAACAAATTCATTTTCCGTATAGCAGTTCATACACATTTTGTTTCATGACATTGACTGCAATTCCCCACAATGTAACAACTCTCTTCCCACTTCCTCCCTGTAGTTCCTTCCTCCCTGCCCCCTGAGCTATCTCCCTGTGCAAATATTGCCCTTCTGTTTTCCCATGATTGATCCTTCTAAGGAGTATATCTACCTGATGTAAATGTTCACCCTATATGCCTTTCTATTGTTTCGGTGGAAGCCACAGGAGTGAGTTCAATTCCAGACCTGAAAGGGCAATAGTCTCAGGGGCCTCACCAGGCCCTCTCAGACTTTTATTCTACATTGTTGTCGCTGAGGTCTTGGTGAGTGAAGACTATCTCTATGGTCCCCTCACTGGGCATGGCCTGTCTCTATGATTTCCCACCCCCCCTGTGTACAGAGCTTGCCTTCAAAGTCAGCCACAATGGGTAGGACCTGTCTCAAAGTTACCCCATGGTGCAGTCAGTTACCCTATGGTGCAAGCCTGCAGATGGGTATGAAATGAGAGTAATAGTAGTAATATTATCAGAACCTATCTAACTTCAGGGGAATAATGACCAGAATCAGCCCAAAGCTGATTCCCATGAGGTGGAGATCAGACATACCTCCAACTCTCCAACCTTTTTACCAATTCTGATACCAGCCATCCCTCCCATGGCACTCACTGCTTCTCTTCTGGGTTTATTAAGGAATAACAGGATACAACTTAAGATCAGGATCAACAGGCTACAACTCAGGATCAGTATCAGAAAGCATGTAGGCAAAGTCTCCCTTCTTCAGTGCAGAACAGCTCTCTCAGCCTTTAAGACCCCCTTGAGGACAGGCTTCCTCTCAACTCCCTGAGAACAGGCTCCTCTTGGCCTTGCCATCTGTCACCACCAACTCTGGGTCCCTTCCAAACCTGTTACTGTCTTCAGTGTTACAGCCCTTGGCCTGTGTTACAGCTTTTTTTGAGATTCCTTGCCTTCTCTCTCTCTCTGTTTCTTTTTTCTTTCTGCTTCTGTCTGAAAAACTTCTGTGTGGTTGGCTGCATATATACACAAATTCTTATAAATTTCAAGGCCTGGCCCTCGCACTAGGGCCACAAGCACTTCATTTGCATAGTCTATTGACCAATGACTGCAAGTTGCATACCAATAACAGGGCAGACTGCAGTCCCAAGACCAGATAGAAAGTATCAAACCACAAGCTGTTTACAATTTACCAAACATTATCAACCAACCTGGACAAAAGTAGCAAACTCTTTCCGGTAGAACACTAGGACAATGGTAACTCTTCAGGGTGAAAATCTCTCAAATTGTTTTTCCAAAGAACCAAAGTAAAAAGACCACATAAAAGAACTCATTTTACCACAATGGGGAAAGTCTAAGTGTTGATTCCATCCCATCTGACATCTTGGTGATGGTGACAGTGTCTGTCATTTGGCAGTGTGGGAAGCAGATTGGAGGTGGGGATATCGCAGTGTTTGCCAGCCGCGCAGGCCTGGGTGCCTGTTGGCACCCACAGTGCTTTGTGTGTACCACGTGCCGGGAGCTGCTTGTAGACCTCATCTACTTCTACCATGCTGGCAAGGTCTACTGTGGTCGCCACCATGCTGAACGCCTGCGCCCACGCTGCCAGGCCTGTGATGAGGTGCGTGTCTCCCTTCCTAGGGGTAGGGGTGGAGGGGGCAGGGCCAGAGGCAGGCCTTCTGACAGCCATAGATGGCCTGCACCCCCAGATCATCTTCTCCCCTGAGTGCACAGAGGCTGAGGGCCGGCACTGGCACATGGGTCACTTCTGCTGCTTTGAGTGTGAAGCATCGCTGGGAGGGCAGCGCTATGTCATGCGTCAGAGCCGACCCCACTGCTACGCCTGCTACGAGGCCCGCCACGCAGAGTACTGTGATAGCTGTGGGGAGCATATCGGTGGGTGAACATGGAACTAGACAAAGGGATGAATGAATAGCTGGGCCACTTCCCCCCCACACCAGGATTCCTCCTGCCCTCCAGGCCCCATTCTCATTATGCCCCATATTGCTACACCTTTCACTGCAACTTCCACCCCCAACATTCCCAGTTATGTCATACTTTGTAAACCCCACCTACACCATTTCAGACTGCCTTCTAATTTTCAGCACCCCAGGCTACGTCCTACCCTCTAAGCCTAGCTCCTGGTATCCCAACCTATGTCCCATTCTCTAAGACGCTTGCCTATCAGTGTAGGCTAGGTCCTACCTTCTAAGCTACTACCTGCTCTCTAAGATTCAGTCTTTTATCACCAAGGCCACCCCTACCTTCTAAACCCTGCCCCCCATCTAAACCTCAGCCTTCAGGTCCAGACTTCCACTTGAAGCCACCCTGAAGTAACCCTGACCCACATCTTAGAGTCCAATGCCCTCCCCTACTCAGGGATAGACTTCTGGGAGGGGCAACCTGGGAAAGAAGGGGGGGAGAGGGGAATAAGGAATTCTGGGTAAAGCCCAAACCTTGGGTTTCCTGCTTTCTCCCAAGAAGGGCCCCATTGCAGAGACGTGAGGGGAGGTTTCCTGGGAGCACCCTACCTCAGATACCCTGCTTCCTCCTGCAAAAGGCCCCATTCAGGAGAAGGTGGGGGTGTGCCTGGGAGCTCTGCCTCAGTGTCTCCCCTTTTGCCCTGCAGGCCTGGACCAGGGCCAAATGGCTTACGAGAGCCAGCACTGGCACGCCTCAGACCGCTGCTTCTGCTGCAGCCGCTGCGGGCGGGCCCTACTTGGCCGACCCTTCCTGCCCCGCCGCGGCCTAATCTTCTGCTCCCGCGCCTGCAGCCTCAGGCCTGAGCCCACTGCCCCAGGGCCTGCCCGCCGCAGCTGGAGTGCGAGCACAGTCTCCGCACCGCTCGCGGCCTCCACATCCTCTTTCTCTGCAGTTGAGGGGGCGTCTGAATTGGCCACCAAAGCCACCAGCACCGAGTCAGCCCCTGGTGAGCCCTTAGGGCCACGCCCAACCCCGACCCGCCTCAACCCTGGCCTCTCCCCTTAACTCGCCCACGCCCTTCACCTGCCTCATCCCTTGCCCACCTCCACCTTACCCCAGGCTCAATCCATACCTTTCCAGGCCCAGTCTGCAACCCAAAGTATATCTCCTTCCTGAACCCTACTTCTGCCCCTCTCTGTACCAAGCCTCTCCTCTACCTCAGCTTGCCCCTGCTGGAACCCAAGTTCCTTCTCCTTTCTTCAACGGCCAGCGTTTTGACACAAAGCTCGTCTTCTCCAACCCATGCCCCGCCCCTCTTCATCCGAGGCCACTTCCCCACCCCTGGACCCGGCCCCAAACACCGGTCCAGTCTTCCTCCTCTTCCTGCGTTAATTCCAATCTCCTTTTCTCCATCTAGAACCTGCTTCAGGCTTTGTACTCTCCGGACCCCCCCTCCACTTTCCCAGTCCTAATAGGGACCTCCACGCAGGAGGCGACCGGTGGAGGGCAGACATATGTTATAGCTCCGTCTCTTCTTTTCCAGCTTCAGGTCCTGAGGAGCCCGCCCGCTTTCTGCGAGGGGCCCCTCATCGCCACTCCATGCCTGAGCTGGGGCTCCGCAGTGTCGCCGAGCCACCCCGCCAGCCGGACCCGCGTCCGGCAGACGGTGCCTTCGGCCGCCAGAGCGCACCGCGCGTCAGCTTCCGCGACCCTCTAGTGTCTGAGGGAGGCCCACGGCGGACCCTGAGTGCACCGCCGGCCCAGCGCCGCAGGCCGCGCAGTCCCCCGCTCCAAACCTGCAGCCACCACCGCAGTCAACACCACCGCCACCATCGCCGCCGCCTTCCCGCCAGACGTAGACATCATCAGTGTGACTTAGGATCAGGGTCGGATTCAGGATCTTGCTCCAGCTCGCCCTCCAGCCCCAGTTCCGAGTCCTCCTCAGAGGATGACGGCTTCTTCTTGGGAGAACGTATCCCTCTGCCCCCGCACCTGTGCAGGCCTGTGCTGGCTCAGGATTCTGCAACTGTGACAGCCAACTCCCCACCCCAACTGCCCCTCGGGGACCCGCGCCCAGGGTTTCCTCGACAGGCCCGAGACAAAAATTGTATAGTGGCTTGAAGTTGAGGCAATCCTGGGGGAGGGAGGAACCATTCTCGAGTGAGTATAGATGATGACCTCCCAACCTGATTCATAAGTCCCCTTCCTTACTCCTTCCTTCATGTTAGTATTGTTGAGGTAATAATTTGATATTTCTTGTAAAACAGGCCTCCTTGCTTTGCCTCCTTGCTCCACACCATTCCCAAATTTCCCCCCTCCTGATGCTTGAAATTTATCCACATTTGAGCAAAGGATGAATTAATTTATTATAATTTCTAACCACCTGTTTGTTTATTTATCCCTCCATAGAAACCCCCCCCCACACACACACACACACACCCCAAGGAGGTTTATTTGGAGAGGCCTGAATCACTGGTGCCTGAAGTCTGAAATCTGAGGTGCCCTCCTCCCTCATTTTGTGGCTTAGTTGGGGCATGTTCCAGGCAGAACTGGAGTCTCCTTTTGGATACTGTAGAAGGAAAGGGGGGACCTAGGCACATCCATAAGGTGGCCACACCAAGAGGGTTGATTGGCAAGCTGAAGACAAATTCTCCCGATACAGGCATTTACCTCGATAGGGGATTGAGGGGTTGGCTAGGAGTGTTGTGGAGTGGGGAGGAGTTATTGTGATGGAGGCATTATTTTCAGGTTGCAGAGAGAAATGAGGGGAGTTCACCTACACCGGGCCATCTGCGGGGTCTGCAGAGTAAGGAAAAGAGAAGAAGCATTGGCTGGATCCATATGCCCATTTTACACACAAGAATACTGAAGCCTAGGAAAGGACAGGCCTTGGGCCAAAGCCTTTAGTACCAATAAGGGACAGAGTTGGGAGACCCCTTTCCCTCTCTCCTCTGCTTCCTCACCAGCCCCTTTCCTTCTCTACCTCCTCAGCACCCACCACACACACACTTACCAGTGGGGGCTGCTGTGTGTCTTTGTTGCCGGAAGGGGAAGGTGATATACGCATCATAGCCAAAGAGGCACATACTGATTAGGCCAAATACCTGGGGGGGCGGTTATTGAGGGGAGGATGTGAGTGAGGGTAGTTAGATGGATTAGGCTAGTCAGCCTACTCAGCCTCTTACGTCCTTATATCCACACCACCTCCATGAAGGTGAATCAAGCCCCAGAGAAAGGCCAGGAAACTGGACTCTACCCCACTATCCCTCCTCCTAGTACTTCTCAACACAGGGTAGCCACATCATGGGCCACTTGCAGGGGGCGCAACCCACACTGTACAATTATTGAGACAAAGTTCCAGGGGATGATAGTCTAGTGTGTTGACAAAGGGGCCACCTGTTTGTTCTTCCCACAAAAATGTGTGTTGGACAAGGGACAGCCCTTCACAACACATGCTAATCTTAAGGAGCTGGGAGTGCAAAACTAGGGCTTGAGCCAGATTTTTCTGCAGCATGGACACTTAAGGCCCTGAGGGCAAGCATGGCTTGCCATGAGTCACACTCTTTCTGCCAGAAGCAGAGGCAGAAATGGCCCCTAGATCTTCGAACCCCTCTCCCTGTGCTTTGGAGCTGCTGCCCGCCTTTACCCCAGCGATGATTTTGGAGGAGTTTCCTTTCTCAACAAGGACAACAATGGAAGTTATCAGGAAGAGGATCGCAGCGATGAGTGCTCTGAAGAAATCCTGTGAGGTGCGAGAAGAGGGACATAAACACCCAAAACCCCCTGGACAATCCTAGTTGCCTGGCACCTCCCCTGCCTCGCCACTGTCAGCCCCCTTCTCACACTCCAGGGCCAATTGATGAACTGTATCTTGGTGTGCAGGTCACACATGTAGATGACAAAGAAGATAGCAGCCAGGATCATCTCGACCACAGACAGTGAAGAGTAAACTTGGGCGCCTACCGATACACCGAAGCAGATCAGAATCACCAGGCACATTATCTGGAGGGAGGACACCGGAAAGGGGGCCTTGATAAGCTCCCAGGGTAGGGAAGGTTGCAAACTTAAATGCCTACTCGAGCTGGGAAGGTGACAAAGAAGAGCTAAACACTTAAAATGTGTGCTTACTGTGTTCCAAGCATTGTTCTAAGAACTTTAAATATTAACTCACTTAATCATCACAATAACCTAATAAATTGGATAGTATTAGTATCTCTTTTATAGCGCACACAGAGAGGTTAAATGACTTGCTCAGAGTCACCCAGCTAGTAAGAGGTGAAATTGGGTGTCCAGGCTCCTCCCCTTTTCTCTTTTAGGACTGGGGCGGTTGCGGGGAGGGGCGCTGCGAGGTGTTTTGTGAGCCACTGCTGGAGCCAGCTTCTAGGCCCTGAGGGGGCAGGACGTGCGGTTCCCCCAGCAACCCCTCGGGAAGTGAAGAGAGTGACACCCGAGGGGCAGGGTTCCGTTTAAGGCGCCGCACCCCTTCTACCAGTGACTCAAAGGCGGTGTCCACTTTGAGGGGATGGGAAACGGAGGTTCCTCAGCAGCCGGGAGAACTAAAGGACCTGACGGCAGGTCCTAGAAGGACGGAAGAAAAAGCAAAACAACAAAAAAAAAAAA